TAATTATTTCATCTAAAAGTTTAAGTTTTTAAAGAGGTACTACGTGTATTTTGTTTTCAACGTGTCTTTTCACGTGTTGACCAATTTAGTTTTCGATCATACGTCCAAAATGTGCACAAATTTTCATAAATAGATGAAGACAAAATCAATACCAAGTCTTTTGTGTATATATTTCGTCATCTCATCAAAGTTTAAAATCACTGATTTATTTATTTCTTATTATATCCTTTGTTTGTTCAATTCCAATTGCATTTCTTTCCATAGTTGACATTGGTGAGTATTTTAATTATAATCAATGCTTCTGATTGTAGCCAGCTGGATAAATGCCTTGCTGGTAGTACAAAAATGATCTGATGCTAACAATGAGGAGTGTCACTTTTGATGGTGAATCTGGCTTTTGAGAGATACTTTTTTTTTTAATCACTATATTGTATATTTTACTGTAAAAGTATATAAAATAACACAAACTTAGGAGGAGGGCTCGACCTGGCTAAATGTATAAAAATTAAAATTTCCTTATCGAGAGACGGGGTAGAAAATGGACATCTGATGTTAGGGGCGAAGAAAGCCAAACATTAGAAGAGTTAAAGAAATTACACTTCAATCGCCTTAATCATACTCCTTGTCACTTTCGATGCAATACTGGAAGTAAATTTTCTAAATTAATTTAATATTATACCCTAAATTTGGAAAGTGATTCAAAACTTATTCTCAGGATCAACAATTTATAACTGATAAATACTTATTTTTCTATCCTTCTTCAGTTATATCATATATGTGCTCTCATAGACTAGGCTTGTAGAAGCATTAATTCAAGAATTATGCTTTGGCACTAACCAAAATAATTTTAATCTAGGAAAGAGAGAAACAATAGGTACTATAGAGTACAGAATAACAATATATGAGTATTCTTTAGAATATGATTTATAAGATATGCCTAAACTTTTTCAAGATTATTTGCTGTGTATCACCGAGGGGAATAATCTTCTTTCCTACTCAAAACTTGTAATAATTTCTGTGCGTGTATCATATATTCTTATATTTTTCTTCCCGTTGTTTTCACTTTTTAGAACATATTCCAGAGGCATTCCGTTCCTTTTTACAAGCTCTTTTTCTGTTTATACAGATGTCAACTGGATATAGGGGTGACTAAGAGAACCATTACATTTTCGAAACCATGCGCTAAGGGTCATGTTTTGACTCGCTAAATAGTCCGTTCCTTTTGTACAAGCTATTTTTCTGTCTATACAGATGCCAACTAAATCTAGGGGTGACTAAGAGAACCATTAAATCTTCGAAACCATGTATTGAGGATCATGTTTTGACTCGTTAAATAGCCTTACGACAAACGCGTGTTTGATGAGTATTGTCATGGCCGTCGAATAGTTGTTCCATCTAAACTTCCTATAAAGTATTTATTTGTAGGAAGACATTTTTACGTCATGCAGTTGAAAATCCAGCGATGATTTAGTGCATCAAAAGCGTGAAGCAATGTTCAATCTTGACGAGTTTGACAAGCATTTCGAGTAATGCTATTTGTAATCGTTCATTATCGTAGTTGTACTACGTGACATACATGTGGATGTTAGCGATTTGATGCATTAATGTGATAATTAACCGACACATGTATGTCATGTAAGATGACTACAGTAATGAGCGACTGCAAATAGCATTATTCAAGCATTTCACATGGAGAATTGGAGTTGAAAACCAGCTTGGATAACCCGTTAACGAGATAAGAAACAGTAATGAAGGCTTCAAACTTCAGAACCGTATCTCTTGAAAAACAAAAATGAATATTTCATTTTACTCCCGCAACATTTAATAACTTACCTACCACTAAAATAAATATTTCACATTCATCTGAAGGAAAACAAAATCCATTGCGTTCTGATTCCAAGAAAAACGACTATCAATCCAAGATCTTTTTATTATACAAGCATGTGATTTTCTCCATATGTCTGCGACTCAGGTTTGGGGGGAACAGACAGACAGCCAGCTTCATGAGATTCATTAAACACGGTTGTATGCAACTGACTTGCTGAACAAGCGACGAATATACACAACTTGGAGTGCACTTGCAAGAGCTAGCAAAATGTATTCTGCAACTGTGTAAAATATAACTCGCCTCCGAGTGCTCTCATTTGCTGTAGCAAGCACACACATGAGGCCATACAGAATATTAGCGAATAACCATCAAAAACATATAGAAGCTAAGCATAGAAGAGGTCGTATGTCTCATTCATGTTAGTAAATGTTCCAATGTAATTGTCGTAATGTACTTATTTTCACTTCAGGGTGGGAGTGAATGTTGGGAAATGGAGGAAGATAAGAGCTGTCCGTCACTCTTGAGACACCATCTCCTCAAAAAGAATAGTCCATGTATAATTAGATTATTTACACATCAGATAGGTAGGGTGGGGTAAAAACATAGCACTGAACGCAAATCCTATGAATGAATGGTCTGATTTCCATTTTCTTCTACTATATCATGATATAATCATATCCTCAAATAGGTAAATGGGGAGATAGTGAGAATTGGAACCCTAAATAAACCCTTTAAGCAATTAAAAAAATCAAAACACAACACAACACCTGTATCAATCAGAATTCTTTAGGATAAAACAAGCACCTCATTATCTGCAGTGAATTGAGCAAACACTGCTTTGGACATAATTGGTAATATTTGGCAACTAGTAATCCAGCAAGCGAAAGTGAAAACTGCTATTTACATATATGGCATCATCTTAAGAATATTGTTGATCTAATCAATTGATTCACAATAGGCGTAATGTTATTAAATGCTCAAACTGCATTTGTATGTTTTCCCATCTCTAAGTAACTCCTCCTACCTAAGAATGTCATCGTTAAAAATACACCTTCCAGCACTTAATGTATATAGTTGTCAGTATCCTTTTCAATATTTCCATTAATCAAATATTTCAAGCTTGAGGCTGGGTGCATTTGATATTCAACTATAGTATCTTAGACAAACATCAAATATCAAGCCTTAAGAACTTCCAAACTTCTACAACCATAAAGCATGAGAAAGAACATCAGACATAAGCACACACTACATAGTCAAAGACAGAAATCAACCAAATATTATGATGGAAGAATGCATATTGCATCATATCAACACAGGCAACACTTTACTTAAAATGAAAGGAGGCCTTACTGTGACGATGACGACCATCACGTGCTTTCAAGTACTTCTGCTCAGCTGTAACAGACTCCAATGCCTCCCTCAATTCAGC